CACGAGCTCTNCATTTTCGTTCTTTTGCATCCTGTGTTAATTATCTGTGCCTGTTTTTATGCATATTCTTATCCAGTAATTGAGATTTTCCCATTGCGTGTTCCTCACTTACCTTACGCGACTTCTGTTTTGCGCTTTTTGCAGCGCCTCCAATGTATCTCAGTGCCCTCTCGCGATTCGCGGCTTTTCCAGAGATTATTTTGTATCTAACTTTATGTTGTTCCCACGCACGTTTCCTCGCAACTTTTGTTATGAAATTAAGTTTTGCCGTCTTGTAGCATTTTGAAAGCTCCCCTTTAGCTTGTTAATTATTAATTTCCCAATATTTCTAGCGAATTACAATGTACATGCACTTCCCTTTCAGCGCACTACAATTGTTCGGGAAAACCTCCTTAACTCGGATAAATTAAAGCACGATTTTAAAACATTAGAAACTGGTCATTGGGTCAGTGAGCTTCAGAGAGCCCAATCTCGTCATTTTGGAGCTGGACCCGTCTCGATACTCACAAATTCAAACGGCGATATATTTGCTAATCATAATGAGCTGTAGCTTTGACTCTTTCACACAGTAGACATGCAGATAAACCCCTTCCAGTTGAGAAAAGCTGTGATTCATATGTTGGGTTTATTTTAAGAATTTTTAAAGGTGTTTAATTAAATATTGAAATGTTTAAGGCGTCAAAATTTTTTAACTTTGGTAGGATCGGAAACGTCTTTTATTCACGCATGTTCTCGAAGATAAGACGCTTATGAATTTATCCTAATAATCTGTTCATAATTTATTTTGGATGACAAATTTATACATTATATCACATTTTTCTGTTTCTGATAACGAAATATATTATGTTCTTCAGTGAATGACAGGCGGCAAGTAAAGTTCCTTTTTTTTGCGTTTTCACACTTTAAACCGCAAACGATTTTCGATACGGTCAGAAAAGAAATGACCTGTAAGGGTTGTACATAAAGAAATTGCTCTATGTATATTTTCCAATCTGTTCGTTATGAAGTAGTCTCCTTCTGAAGGCATTGTCACGCAACGATTCTCCCAGTTAAGAAGCGTTGCGTGACGACCTAAATATGGGTTGTCACGCAACTTGTTGAGGTTGCAACTTGTTGAAGCAAATGTNCCCCTTCCAGTTGAGAAAAGCTGTGATTCATATGTTGGGTTTATTTTAAAAAGTTTTTAAAGGTGTTTGATTAAATATTGAAATGTTTAAGGCGTCAAAATTTTTTAACTTTGGTAGGATCAGAAACGTCTTTTATTCACGCATGTTCTCGAAGATGAGACGCTTATGCACTTATCATGATAATCTGTTCATAATTTATTTTGGACGACAAATTTATACATTATACTACATTTTTTCTGTTTCTGATAACGAAATATATTATGTTCTTCAGTGAATGACAGGCGACAAGTAAAGTTTTTTTTTTTGCGTTTTCACACTTTTGAACCGCAAACGATTTTCGATACGGTCAGAAAAGAAATGACCTTTAAGGCTTGTACATAAAGAAATTGTTCTATGTATATTTTCCAATCTGTTCCTTATGAAGTGGTCTCCTTCTGAAGGCATTGTCACGCAACGATTCTCCCAGTTAAGAAGCGTTGCGTGACGACCAAAATATGGGTTGTCACGCAACTTGTTGAGATTGCAACTTTTTGAAGCAAATGTTTACATGGACACTATCATTACAGGAATAGATCTACAGATTTTTAATCATGATATTGGGAAGTCCGTGACGTCGTCTCTTCCACCCTCCAAGTTCTTTTGCTTCAAGCCTGAGATACTTCAGCCATCTTCGATACTCGCGACTGGAGGATGCTCTGAAGACGTACGTCTCTTTGCCTATTGACATGATCTCAAAGGCGTCCTTCCGTTCTGCAGAAAAACAAAATAGTATGCAGCCAATGAGAGGCAATACTTCATGTGATATGTCAAACAAGAGAGATCGTGTCTTACCACATTTCCAAATATCGAGAGGAGAGTTGAAAATACGACGCGCAGTGGAGTATTTTTGACGAACTTCGAAAAGTTTGGAAATGTGGTGAGCCACTGTCTCTAATGTTTGATATATCTTTTCAGGGGAAGCCACAACCAACGTCATGGTTACGATCTCCCCTATTTAAGCCGAATGAATTATTGATGAGTTTGAGATTAAACCCTTATAAATTGCTCAATTAAAACAGCCTTTTCTAATAAGACCACCTTTTTATATAGACGAATTGCGGGCTTATTTTTCAACTTACCACAGTNTCCAAATATCGAGAGGAGAGTTGAAAATACGACGCGCAGTGGAGTATTTTTGACGAACTTCGAAAAGTTTAGAAATGTGGTGAGCCACTGTCTCTAATGTTTGATATATCTTTTCAGAGGAAGCCACAACCAACGTCATGGTTACGATCTCCCCTATTTAAGCCGAATGAATTATTGATGAGTTGGAGATTAAACCCTTATAAATTGCTCAATTAAAACAGCCTTTTCTAATAAGACTACCTTTTTATATACACGAATTGCGGGCCTATTTTTCAACTTACCACAGTCTCTGTAAATTACACACATGTCCAAGTACAGTGGTTCCTGCGAGACAGAACAAAGCGAAACAGAAACTTAGCAAAGATCAGAAAACTTGATGCTTTCTTTGTTCCAGAGTGATATGCAATGTAATTGGGAGATAAGAACCCGCAGAAAATATAACCATTATCGATTGCATAGGTTTGCTGCGGACCAGATATGTTTTGGTTTTGAGCATCTCGACAGCAACACACATTACTTCCAAAAAAGCTTGGATGATTTTAATTTTGGACAAAAAAATGCCCGAAATTAGAACCATCCGAAATGTTTAAGCGTCGACTAGCGCCAGAGCTCTTAGTTTCTTTTACTGATGCCCAACTTTAATGAGCGAACTCTAGTTAAGACACAGCTTGAAATATGTACTGAATGGCTTGGTAAAATATGTGTTATTTTCTCGTTGGTCTGTTGCAACTAAGAACTCGCACATAGTTTCGCGTTTCAAGAAGAGTGCGAGAAGTGAAATGCGGCGAGTAAGATGTATGCAGTTTTAAGTTTTAAGTCATCCATCACGTGTTTTTAATATGAATGTAATTAGACATTTTGAATTTACTCTCTTTCCTTTTTACTCGATGTACATTAATTCTGAAAATCCATTTGGGNTTTTGACGAACTTCGAAAAGTTTGGAAATGTGGTGAGCCACTGTCTCTAATGTTTGATATATCTTTTCAGGGGAAGCCACAACCAACGTCATGGTTACGATCTCCCCTATTTAAGCCGAATGAATTATTGATGAGTTTGAGATTAAACCCTTATAAATTGCTCAATTAAAACAGCCTTTTCTAATAAGACCACCTTTTTATATAGACGAATTGCGGGCTTATTTTTCAACTTACCACAGTCTCTGTAAATTACACACATGTCCAAGTACAGTGGTTCCTGCGAGACAGAACAAAGCGAAACAGAAACTTAGCAAAGATCAGAAAACTTTAGGTTTTCTTTGTTCCAGAGTGATTTGCAATGTGATTGGGAGATAAGAACCCGCAGAAAATATAACTATTATCGATTGAATAGGTTTGCTGCGGACCAGATATGTTTTGGTTTTGAGCATCTCGACAGCAACACACATTACTTTCAAAAAAGTTCGGACGATTTTAATTTTGGACAAAAAAGTCCCGAAAATAAAACCATCCGAAATGTTTAAGCGTCAACTAGCGCCAGAGCTCTTAGTTTCCATTACTGATGCCCAACTTTATGGAGCGAACTCTAGTTAAGAGACAGCTTGAAATATGTACTGAATGGCTTGGTAAAATATGTGTTATTTTCTCGTTGGTCTGTTACAACTAAGAACTCGCACATAGTTTCGCATTTCAAGAAGAGTGCGAGAAGAGTGCGAGAAGTGAAATGCAGTTTTAAGTTTTAAGTCATCCATCACGTGTTTTTAATATGAATGTAATTAGACATTTTGAATTTACTCTCTTTCCTTTTTACTCGATGTACATTAATTCTGAAAATTCATTTGGGAGAATTAATAAATGTATTGTATTGGTGTAGCTGTAAAACCTTAAGGGTACAATAAAACTATCTTTTTCATATATAGTAATGTTGTTGTTTCAGTCTAATTCGTGTTTTGTTGGCATAAATTTACTCTAGCTATGTTTCAGCAAAGTTTTCGAAATTTTAACGTCCGAAATTTTTTGCTAGTAATGTACCTATAACGGAATACCGCTGTACCAAGTCATCGTGACCTACCTTAAACAAAGTGTACTTCCCGCTCATCTTCTTTCTGAGAAGAACGACAGCAGCGTCTGTCACGTCACCCTCCCCGGGAAATAACGGCTCCTCACACTCCCCCTCATCGTCAGAGTCGATGCGAACATACTACCAGGGAGGAGAGAGTATAGAAATGTTACTGAACACTTTACAGAACGGGAATGTTTTCAGCCTTGGAAGAGCGAAGCTTTTTGTAAATTTGTTGGTCTAAATAGGAAGCCTTTTAAAAGCACGACCGCTATGGAAGAAATATCGTATGCCCTTTTAAGGATACAAACCTCTGAGTGACCTCTGACGCAGAACAGAGCACACACTGAAATGGCTTTCTTACTGCTACGTCGGTTCCAGCTTGCGCCGAACTCGTGGATAGTGATCTGGAAACGAGTGACAACGTCAAATGTTAAACAGGTTATTTCGATTGAACGAGTTAAAAAGACAAAACGTCCTGAAGTCACATTCATCGTCACATCACCGCAAGACCACTCACATGAATACAAGTCGTTGTATGAGTACCATTCTTACGAGTTGTTCTATTTAGCAATTAGATTTTTTGTATGAGCTCGAGATTTCAATTCTGACGCGTGATAGTTGACGAGGGCACAGCCTGAGTCAACTATCACGCATAGAAACCGACAGCGAATAATCTAGTTGTTTTAGCATAAATCCACTGTAGTCGTTGAAAACTGGTTTTCTGGCCAGATCGGTTAAAGCCATTCAAAGAGAGGTTAAGATCTATCAATACCTCGTATCCAGCGGCAAAAAGTTGATATTTGAGTTTTTGACCCTCACTGACCTGAAATACGCCGTGCATTAAAAGTTGCATTTCCTCCATGGTCCAATTAAGGATATCTGACGCCATCTTCTTCATCTGTAGTTTATCTAGGGAATCTGATCTACCCAACTGTTGGCTGGCTCGATAACGCTTTTGGCGAGATTCAACGGTCGTGTTCAACTGGAAAGAAAGAAAGCGTATTACAAAAATACCCATTGCATTTGAGATTGACTAAAATTTTAACTGAGTAAAATATGTTTATAACGCAAGCAATATTTCTGCAAGCTTTGTCATTTTATTGAACTGACTGAGAATACCCATTGTAACACATGAATTGTTTCAAATTAGGCGCATCTTCCTCATATAGTGATTTTACCGTCAGTCACTCAGATCAATGGAAGTTTGTAGTGTTTAGCTCAGAGATGATCTTCCTTATAGAATAATCATTCAGTTTGTCTTGTCCTGTTTTCTACCCTCAATCAGCCTTATTAACGTGACCATAACTTAAACTTGGGTGAAAGCGGTTTTTAAACTTTACTTCTCCCGGCCACNGAAACGTACGGCTGTGTCACTGCCGCTCTCCCCGAAAGAAAAAATCGGAGAGCCGATTTTTCTCCGATGTTTTCTCTCTGAGAGTGTGGCTGTGACACAGGCTACGATACGTATTAGTTTGGACGGTGCTTTATACAAAACATTGCGTAGCGCAAAAGCTATAGCTAAGTAAGTAAAATAAAAAAAGGAGAGAGAGATTTAAAAACCAATGGCCCAGCATGTGTATTAAATATTTTGATACATTTCCACTTCGTCCTTTGCAAGCTTTTCTGTAACAGGAGGTAATTATTGGGAGGGAAATTAGCAAGATTAGAAATAATTGGGAGGTAATTAACGGGAGACAATCATTGGTTTTAATTGCTTGAAACTTACCATATCCTCTGTAATAGAATGCACTGAGCTTCTTTTCTTCACTGTAGTCGCCTCGCCCTCGTTACCTTTCTTTCTGCGGGCCAATTCTTGCCAGTGCCGGGCGGAGGCAGCTACAACGGACCAGTGTTCTGAGCTCTTCATGACAATCTCCTCCCACGAGCGCCTCAAGGGACTCTGGCCCATGTCACCTCCGACACCACTGTCAGTGCGTTCCACTTCTGCTTCACTTTTGGGATGCTCATCTGAATAGAATTAGAAGGGTTTGAAAGTTAGTGAACCAAAGTTTCCCAAGACTTTAAGTTTTCGAACCCTATGTGAACTCGGGAAAGTAGAGTCGAATACACTCTTTTTTCTGCAAGAATATATTTTATAAGAATATCGAAGCTGAAATTTGTGAAATTTGAAGAATGTTTTAAGAACAAACTCGAGGCTGAGATTTTAAAAAGAATATAATTTTGTGTGTTGAGATTATTTAAATGCAATACTATGATATGTTTTTAACTAATTATAAAACGCATAAAATTCTTCCTTTCTCTAAACGGGAAAACCAGCCAAAAAATCAACAAAAACAGCACTAGTCGTATGACTTGTTTGATTTCTACAGTCACCAAGTTTCGTCTTTAACGTCTTGCGATTCATCCCTGTTATAAGCTAAGTTTGTGAAGAGGAACAAAGTTAAAAGCAACCGTGACGAACAGTCAACCTAACAATCCATGATGCTTACACAACGTCTTACCTTCAGATTCCTGGTCATCGAACACTTCATCAAACTCAGTTGCATTGGAATCCGTTTCGAATTCAAACAGATGGGCGGAGCCACTGTCAGCACTGATGTTGCTATAGAAACTTTCCCATCGCCTTCCTCGTGTTCCTCTTTCATCGTCGAGCGAGTCCACTTCACTGTAAATGCTGACCGTGTCTTCCATTTCCGAGTCTGTCATACATGCGTTGCTAGCCACACTGAGCATGCTCGTGTGAATCCCACCCTTCCGAAGTCTTCCGTCCGTTCGGAATCGTCGTCGTCGGGTGTTTGGAGATCGTTTCTCGACCGACTCGTTCCGTGTAATTCCGATGGTATCTTTACGTCTTTCGCTCTGTTGATCTCGACTCTCAACCTTTGCAGTTGTATCACCTTTCGCAATAATATCCTCGATCTGCCTTTTATCTGGCAATGGTGAACCGTTCGGTGTCTTTGAGTCCCTGTTTGTGGCTCTTTTGAACTTTGTTGCGCATAAGATCGCTCTGGAAGTTCCACGAAGACTAATTGAGCTCTTCTTTTTTCGAGGTGACCCTGGACTAGGGTTCAAATCGGCAGCGACCTTTTGACTCTCGGAGAATCCATTTGTTGTTGTTATGCTATTTTCTAAAGCACTCGATCTCGTTCTGACAATATCTGCAGCAGTTGAATCCATATCATTTCGTCGAAATTCACCAGAACTATGCTTGTCAAAAAATCCAGTGTCGCTGTCTTCTCGCTTCAAACTTTCTTTGGTTAGCGCCGGCGCATCTTTTATTGATGCATTTTCCGTTGCATTAAGCTCCGCGGTTTTCTCTTTGTCTCTAGTGTTTACTGCTTCTAAATTTCGGTTACGAGGTCCACCTTGCCTTCGCAATTCTCTAAAACGTTCAGCCGCGGATTTTTTCGGTTCAGATGGTATACCCTGGATAGCGGATGGAAGCGGGCTGGTCCTTGGAGCAGTTCTGTTCGACTCTGTTGCATTTCGCAGGTTGTTTTCAACTTCCTGTGTAGAACGTTCTTTATCAGTTGCAGAAACACCTCTTTTACTTGACAAAGAACTGTTTTCAGATTTTGGATCTGCTTCGTTTTTATTGTTTCTTTCGAGTGTATTTGCATGTGAACTGTCCTTCCGTAACACAGTTTCCTTTCTTTCACCATTCGGACTTTTTGCTTTCTTTTGCCCGCCTTTCTCGTACAAACCATATTTCAGCATTAAGTTATGAATCACCTCGTTCTTAGAAAAAGGGCTTTCAAGTCTGCTCTTGGAAAGTTTTCGTGAACTCTCCGATTTCTTTGCGTCTCCCGAATTATTTGGCTTTGCCTCTGTCAACTCCGTTGACTTTGCAACAAACGATTTTCCAATAGTTCCTTTCTCAATTTTTCCCGCTGAATCTTTTCCTGACGTATTCAACGTGTAAGAGTCAACAAATCTTTTTGTCGCGCTTTGAGCTGATATGTCTTTGGCGCTCTCATACAAAGAAGATAACCTTTCTTTCAAACCAGCTCTTAATTCTGCCTTCCTTGTAGATTCTTGCTTAGCATCTGCCCTAGGAGATTTCTCTGATAGTTTTTCCTGCACTCTATCCTTTCCAATTAAAGTTTTATTTTTCGAATTTTCCTCCAAATTCTTCTGCTTGAATTCACGAAAAGACGGTATTGGAACTCGCGCCAAAGGGTATTTCTCTCTGGCGCCACCTACAGCCAGTGGTAAACTGTCCCTCCTCTTATCCGAAGCTCCCTTCGGAATAGTTCGTTCCTGTTCGTCGCTTAAATTCGATAACGAACGAGTGCGACTAAGCGTTGGCGATCGCTCACGATCCATGCCGTAAGACGTTCGGTTAGTGTCGTGCCCCGTCGTAAAATCGGAGCCTTGAAATGACCGCTGTTGAGTGGATGGTTTGTGGATGGGAATGTTACTCGGAGACGATAAATTATCGACTACACGCGACTCACTGTAGGGCAGTGGAGATTGTCCCCTTCGGAAGGCATTCGGAGATTTCGAACCTCCACGATGATTTTCCGATTCTCTTGGCGAGCTACGCTCCCATCTTGGTAACTCGAGCGCGCTGCCATTTTCGTTTGGTAACAAACGATCGTCGCTGTACCGCGAACGCGGGGTTTGATAGGGGGATGTGTTTCCACTACGGGGGGAGGGCTCAGTACTATACGAAGAGTATGAACTGTAGTCACTATACTGAGAAGGGGTTGGTGAGGATCTTGGCGAGAACACAGGAGGACCATAACTGCTTGTTAAATCAGGAGAACTTCCTGAAGATCGAAGAGGATATTCTCCTTTGTACGCTTCTTGAGGGTTGTCAGAAGGCAGTTGAAATGGTTTCGTGAAATTTGGAGCTCTTTCATAATTTGGATAAACGAAGGTTCTTTGAAGAGACGTGGGAGAATGTGAGAAAAATGCACCATCGTTACCATCAAAAGAAGTTAAGTCGCTCATTGAACGCGATGATAAAATCCTCCTCCTTTCCACTCCCCTCTCGGGTCTGGGTTGAAAGTCACGTGCTCTCGCATTGACATAATCAGGGTTTCCATAGTGATACTGCAAGTCTCTTGCCGGAAGAGACGTGTGATGATGCAAGATCGGGTACTCTCGATCTAACGCGCGAAGATCAGGGGTAGAAACCGCACTGTGGAGACTGGCGCCTCGTGCCAAATAGTCAGGGGCGCTCCTAAGATATCTAGGATCTCCCGGGTCACTGTAGTGCGATAGACTATGGGGCCGATGAAACGAAGAGGGTCCATTGTTCATTTTGGTTCCCATTGATGAAAAACTAGCAGAAGAACTCGTTTGACTTGGCCCATTTTCACCATTCATGGGAGGTCGAACTTTTCTCGCTTTTATCTGCAAAATACATAAAATAAAGTTATAGAATAATATATTAAGGCTACTTACGCCTGACTTGGAAGAAAGAACAAGTGCAGCCACGGGAACCCCACTGTACTCACAGCAAGATCGCTTGGAGGCAAAACAAAGAGATTTGCATGTGTGATGTTTTATGGTTAGCTTACATAACGACAGGAAAATGGTTAAGTCTAAGTACCACATGCAAATGTCATCCATTTGTCTGTCGGTGTCTAAGTGACTCTTTGCTTAAGCGAAAATATTTAAACAAGTTTTAAATCAGTCTTCTCTAGCTTAAATGAACCAAGTATGTCGTAAACTGTCTTAGTTTGGACTCGACATCCGAAATATGGCCGAATGCAAACTTCATTTGATATATACAAACCCCTAAATAATTTGCTTGTGCTTTAAACCCGGGTTTAAAGGACTTCTCTTCTTCAATTCTTTTGCCAAGTTTTCGCCGGTGTTCGATTCACGGAGACGAAGAAATACCACGAAATAATATGATTCGATGATACCAGTTCCTTTTATGACTCGTGAGATGCAGCTGGCAAAACGTTCGACTTTATTGAGCACTTTCACGAACAGCGCTGTCTTCGAATTCCAATTGGTCAATCGGGTTTCCAGAGAAATGATATTAATAAATTAACATTTCCTGCGGTGCAGACTGAAAAGTCTGTTTATTTTGATATTTGAACTCGAATGTAAACACAACGTCAATGTTGTCCATTAGTCTCACTTTGAGTTCGACGCCACCTGTTGTTGTTCATAAAAGGATTACCGCTGACCCTATTTTAGTTGTTTTGAATGCAGCCCCTATTCAACACTTTAATGAATAAAAGCACAAGGAAACATTGAATCACTGAAAGGTCATACAAATAGGACTATGAATCAAGCTAGTTAAAGGTGAAAAAACTCAAAGCAAAGTTACTTCGTACGAAGTAAATCAAGAATAGCTCTGTTTCTTCTAAAAAAGCCATCATTTTCCCGATATATTTGCATTTTAGATTTCATCAATGAACGATTATCGTAAAAGCTGTATTATCGATATATTAAAACACCAAGACATTGAGGGACCTTATCTATTCTCAATGCATATTGAGGGAACTAATTTAGTGTGACGTAGCACCCCCACCCCCACCCCACTCCACCCGCCTCGCTTGTAGCGTGCTTTGACTTACCTCGTTCCAGTTGATGCCCTTGAAAAACGGGTGGGACTGGATCTGGTCGCATCGAGAAATGTCGCCTCGCACCAGTCTACTGATCAAATCACTGGCAGCGGACGAGAGGGAACTGTAGGAAAAAGGTTTGTAAAACTGTAACTGAAATGTTTCTTTACCGCTAGAGTAACTATTGAAAATAAAAGCCAATGGAAAGTTTTAAAAGCATATTCAGTCATGTAAAGATGTATAGATCTCTGAACAATACTCTCCCTTCCAACGTAAGATACTTGAAGGCCATTTTTTGTGAAACTTTCCACTTCAGTTGAAGCAAAAGCCGATGATTTCTCTTGGATAGTCGACTCTTGATTGAAGTAATTCGTTTTCAATGTGTGCTCTTTATCTGTAACTTTGTGCACGATGTTGTGGCACATCTATCGGTTATTTCTAGCCTGCGAACGCAGACGTATTTCTGGCTGTCGCTTGTCTCCGCCGAAATTCGGCAATATCTAACCCAAACACAACGACCTTCTCCTGTTTTCGCGTTTATGAATCTCAGAGCAAAATCACTGAATAACTTCGATTTATTCTTCTTAAGGTTAGAGTTGCAAATGGAATAAATGCTAATCGTCTTTATCCATACAAAAATAAGAGCACGCAAACTTGTCATTTTCGTTCTAAGGAAAAGGTCGAGTTTCTTACCTTCCACTCTCGTCTAATTGATTTAGGAAAGAATCAACACAACGAATAATTGAAGCCATCTTTACTTCGACTGTTCCGAAATATTTCTTGCACTGAGCAGTTTAATATTGAGCGTGTGAATAATTTCCTGTTTAACCATAACCTCCTTAAATTCATCCGTTAATCAGATTCACAGTAAGTTGGAGCAAGAAACATTGTCTCTCGGGTTGGCATTTGTCTGAACTTGAAATTATTGACTTCTCAATATCTGTCTAGACGGATATGTCTTGTTCTAGCATATTTTGGTAACCCTTGTAATTTGCCAAGAATGTAGATCATCTCTGTCGTCGAAAAACAAACTTCCAGAAATAACCCCGCTCCGAAAATAAGCCCCTTAATTCTTAGACGCAAAAAGGCCCCGTCAACACTAAGCCGGAGGAATCAGTTTAAAAACGCAACAATCACCGGTCATTTTAGATTTGTCTTTTAGGCAAACTCTGTCAGGGAAATCACTTGATTTTTCTGACGCCGTCGTTTTCGAAAAGCTCCGTTTTCAAAATGTTTTTTGTCCAGACTAAAACGAAAAGCGGGCGATTTCAAAATTCCTCCGGTTTGAAGAGCGTTTTCGAAAAGCTCCGTTTTCGAGACGGATCGGATTAGTGTGGACGTGACGGATTAGAGTGGACGATAGGCCAAACGTAACCGTAGAAATGAAGATGCGTTTTCAAATTTCTTCGGCGTAGTGTAGACGCTGCCTAAGCCCATAAGTTGTTTCGTCTGATTCTAAGCGTTCCTCTGATTGGTTGTTCACATTTTCGGAGACGTCTGATATCCGTTTGACGGCTGATTTTGTAAGCGTGCTTTTTTCTGTTTCAACTGAGTATCGTTCCGTGTTTTGGGAAATTTTTGCGTATATGGTATAGTCTTCAGAGCACTTCAGCTTAAAATTGAATTCCTACCAGCTGATACTAAGGCAGCTATTCCTCAAAATGATCTCCCCCAGCGATAATTAAGTGGCCGATCCAAACAGCCTTAATTGTTTATTTTTTTTTTAACAAAACACATACACTGTACTTGATAGTATTCATGGAAATTTTACCATACGCTCGAGATCAGTATATCATCAAAATAAAGAAACTGAAACATGGCAACTGAGCAGGTATTTCCCTGATGTATTATTATATTCTCACAATATAGATGACAGGAAATCTATGTGAGCTAGTCAGGAGAATTTTCATTTTGAATGTAGCTGTACTGAAGAGGTTTTCCACGTCCGTAACAGTCAAAGTAAACGCAAAACCATTGTCATGATTGTGTTTCTTTTCTTTTAATGCGTTCAATGCAATGTCTTTTTAGTCTATGCTGACCACTTGAACGCTTACCGACAACACCTACGGATCTGCGTCAAATTGTACAATAAACCTGTCACACAATAAAGAAAAAGCTTTTATAGCGCATAAAGCACTTAAAAGCCTCCACTGACGACAAACGAGAGTTGATAAGTTCCACAGAATTCAGCTGTCACGTACGTAGCCGCGCCAAATTAAACAGCACTCCAGCTAATGAAAGGAAACTAACTGACAAGGAAGTTTTTCATACAGATGTTTTCCGGATTCTCGCACAGGACAGATTTGAACGTTAATTAATCGTGATTCATGGTTATTCTAGGTTTTAAACGTGTCCCATTGACAGTGTAGGCTATTGAAAAATCAAATATGACGTTAATATGTTTCTAAAAGAAAACTTGTCAATACGCAAATGAGATCGAACATTCCTTTATGAGGTAATTAAACTCACGAACACAGTTAATAAATACACGGTAGTGTGAAATTCTTCGCTTAAAATCCTAAATAAAATTTTAAGGAACGTCGCTAACTAAAAAAAACCCACCAAACTCAGTGAGACGAAAACAGGAGTTATCTTCTTACTTGAATAAAAATTTTAATAAGATTAAAATTGATCCAGAAAATCTGATGAAACTTAACCACGATTTCGATTTAAACGGTTTTGTCTGACACGTTGACTTCACAAAGAAACTAGATTGGCCTTTTCCAATGAGTGAAGGATATAAATGTCATCTTTGCGGGAAAAAGGAATAGTGAAATAAACGCGAAGCTGATTACTTCTAAATCATTTTTGAGAAACTGGCTTGCAACTGTTTTACACCTGCAAAGCACCTTTTTCAAACTTGTTTGCAGGGGAAACATGCGCGCAGCATTTGGCTATGGTAGCGCTTTGAGAACCTTCTTAAGTTTATCGCAGGTTTCAAATATGCAGTGGAATCTGATCAGGAAAAAAAACATACCGACTCTGGAAGCCAACAAAATTCACGAGGAACGCATTTCATGTTCAAAACCCAACAAAGTGCAAGTCACGAATTCCTATAGAAGCTTTAATCAGCAAATTTGTCTCCGTTTCAGGTAGACTCTAAAACGGATTTCAAAGGGAAAAAAGAAACAAGAAAAACATCCATTCCATCTGGTTGATCCAGTACAAAGTCTCCGAAAAGGATAATATAATATTATGGATAAACTGTAAGGAATTCAAAGCCTATATATATTAGCGCCGGAGAAATGGGAGAATTTTAACCCAAATCAACTATCGACTTGCTGGAAAATTCACTACTAGTTAAAATTTGTCGTCATGGTGGTAAAAAGACAAATACATACTTCAAAATGTTTTGAATTGTTACTCACCAATTTAAAACCAAGGTACAATATTTGATAAGATCAATGACAAAGATGTACTTAGTCGAAATTTCCGTTTAGCCAAGCATGATAATTAAAAAGCTTGCTTGTTAGAAGATTGCTATCGTAAAATATTAGCTACGAAATTGGTGCTTACGTTTAGTGTGAAACGATCTCGAAAAAATAACCTACAAAATGTTAACGCACTTACGAATGTAAATGCTAATTTCTACTTTTGTCTAAGCTTGGGCAGTCGTAAAGCAATTAACCCGGGTAATCTTTCGAGACGAGACAAGAGTTATAAATACAAACGAGCCAAAATAGGACTAAAATTCACCCCGGAGGGCCAAAAAACGTGAACTATTTTACAGCTGGATAACACGACAAAACCCGGCTTCAGAAAAGTCTATGCATCCAGTGATCAAGTTTTGTTGAGCTTTTTATAAAGTGCGACTAATGAGTTGTCGAATTAGGTGCTAACGACTTCGGAATAACATTATTACTACACGATAAGATTGCGCGGCTGCGTGACATCTCGTTATAACTATTTTAGATGCCATTTCATCGCTACGTACCTTTCGTTAGAAGCTCTCGTAGAGTCATTTCCCATCAACAGCACATTTATCACTTTTCCAAGAGCCTTCCAGTCTTGTCGAAAATCAAACTCACTCTTGAGGTTGTGGTTGTTGTCACACGGATCGCCATGACAGAACCCGCCAAGCGAGCAAACGCATTCGTGTTTACTCCAGTATAACTTCCCGCAAAAATTCCGCCAAAGCACAATGTGACCCTCCGCATCCAGGTGAACCATTTCTAAGGCAAGCTCCTTGTAAGCCAGACAAGCGCTGTGAAATTCCTCCAAAGCGAGCGCGATTTCTGCCGCGTAAAATCTCGCCATCGACTCGGCGACACATCCTCCGAAAGATTTCACTCGCTCAGACAAAGTTTCCTTCCCCGCGAAATCTAAAATGTAGTAGAACTTTGAGCGAGTTTGGAAAGTAAACCGTAGACTGACCCAGAATGGAGAGAACAATGCTTTGGTTAGCTGCACATAAGGGCTAACGGGCGCTTTCGAGTTGCCATCCCGCGGCGCCACTTCCATCGTGTAAAACCTTCCATTCTCCTTGTGTTTAACTTGGTAGAGCTTAGAAAACCCATTTCTCTGTAGAAACTGCAAGTCAATAAAGTGTGTGTGAGAAAACAATACTGTAAATCACAACAAGCAAGTTTACGCGAGCGACGAAACTTTGCTTGGTTTATTCTTATCTGGAATAGAATCAAAACATGTGACAATTTGAAGTGTTCTCTGGATAATTTTGTAAACTTGAATAAAGTTTAGAAAGTTTTTAAAACTTACCGAATCGACTTCAAAGCAATCCGTTCCATGAATCTTCCCATCAATCATGTCCAAACTTTTGTTAAAATCTTTCAGCAAAACTATGTACACAAACCATTTCCATGTAATGTTTTTCTCTCAGGCAAACGGCGCAAGTGTCGACACATGACTCAAAAGTTCCACCAGGAAAGCAATCTGCGACTCCTGCAAGTTCATAAAAGCATTGAATTCTCGTGAATCTATTGTCGCGGCAAAATTACATCTCCTGAAACCAAGAAAATACAATGTTTAGACAAAGTCGTGTGGATCATACAAGCGACTTTGTGCACAAGGCAGAAATTTTGACCTGTGAATGTTAACAGAGACATTAGATGCGTCACGGAATTTAAACCAATCAACGCGTAATGTGCTTCGATGCTAATGAGCGAGAGCTCATTAAACAATCGCAAACATTGGCTCCAAACTGTCTTGATGAAGCCTCTAAAACAGCTTAAAACACAGCTAATTTATTACAGAAGTGCCACTAATCTTGACTCGGTAAATATAGTACACAAACCCACGTTTGTAAGCGCGATAAGTGAGTTGTCATGTGTTGTCTTTGTAATGAAGCCGGGTTAAATGAGGTCAGGGCACTTGTCAAGGTGAATTTTGCATCACAAAAACAGCCTCCGTTTTGAATAGAGCTCAGTGTTTCACACTCCTTAATTAGCGCTCCAGGGACTATGCAAGCTAGAGTTACTCAAAGTAGCCCAAATTGAGCGCCAAAAAGGCCTCACGAACAAGCCGTTAAGACCAACTACTTTAGACTTGAATAAGTAACTTCAAGACCTTGTACAAGTTACGGGCGAATTATCCGCCAGTTTTATTTGGCTTTATGTTCTCCCTTCTCTTATTAATCCGATAATGCACATAGGCAAAAAAGCTAATTAGTGAAAGCTAAACAAATTTCAACTACATCATTACCGTAAAGATATCAAAGACATTTCTTTTGGCAACGAAAACTTTTGACCCGCAAACTTTGCATGTTTACAACTTTCCAGACTGCACACTGACAAATTAGATACTAAACTTGCTGTTCGTTCTAAAAATGCACGTCTTAATTATTTAAGGCAATGACCCCAGACAACGTACGAAGACAATTAGCTCGCAGTTAGACGCACAAGACAGTACTCTTTACAAAAAACTGAATTGTTAAAGAGATTCCCTCAGGGTGAAGATATTTTTATACAAAAGCATCGTCGTCACAAAACATAATTTTAACAAAAAGCTGAATTGTTAAAGAGATACCCTCAGGGCATAGTTAGTAGCTAACTAATTATGCTCAGGGTGAAAATATTTTTATACAGAAGCATCGTCGTCGCAAAACATAATTTTAAGACGAACAACACAATTCTGTGAGAGAATATTCACCACACGTTTCACCAGACATTCAGTTTGGGGCACTGCGTGAAATGCCGTACAAATTCTAAAGAATAAAGTCATCGAAAAGAAGTCTGACTTGACTTGAGCACCTTGGAACAGTTAAAACAAAAGTCACTTGGAAGTCGTTTAATGGAGCTTAAAATTTAGATCTCTTTTTACTAATCCAAAACTTCAGAGGGTAGAGTACTCTTGTACTTGAAAATTTCTTTTTTTACTTTGTTTATGGCTCTAAAAGATGTCTGAAACTACTCTCTGGCAATTAATGTAAAATTAACAAAAAAAGAATAAAGATTGCAAGAATAATAGTTTTATTTCATTTGCAAGGAGGAGTGGATGAGGTGTAAGTCAAGTCTATGCAACAGCCTTTTAAAAAGTCGATCGAGGCATTTAATTTTCTTAATCTCTTTTACTTTACCTGGACAGCAAAAAACACTGTTATCGGTGAGAGAGCGAGCACTTTGAAACTAGTTTGATACGTAACAATCTACTCGCTATTTCTTCCATACGTTTTTTTCCTGGTGTCATGATGCGTTCCTTTTTGTTCGGATTTAGAACACCATGAAATGGAAAATGGAAAACTGATGTTTTGAGCTCGCCCTTGTGTTCTGCCACGCGCTGGAAACTCAGTCATCAGGAACAAGCTAATTATCAGAATCTGAAGAGAATTTCCAGGTCACATAATCATGTATATATGTCTCACCGAAGATTTTTCAAAAACTGTCTTAGTAAGCTAATTCAGGAGCTTATCACCTCAGCTTCTGGTGGTCAATCTAACAATAATCAGCCAGACACGAGCCAGAATCTTACTCGCAGATCAACAATAAACATGACCACACCATTTGGAAAAATTTAACTATACTACCCTCTTTATGCGTCATTTCTTACATTCAAATGAGCTAAATGAGAAATTCATCTCCTTAACAGAATTTGTCCCGAAGGTTGAACATAAGTATCGTCTTGAGAATATGGAATAATTTAAGGTGAAAATTAGAAATAGTAAAAAGCCATTCTTTTATAATCAATAGATCAATTAACTAGTAGAAGGCCATATATCGGCGGTATAGGATGTATATTAACTATAATAAGAAGAGAAATATGTAAATATATTAGCTTATCCCGATACAATACATCTCATCCTTTTTTGGTTGTTTGTGGTATGGAGATGTCTACATGTATAATATAGAAGTAATATAAGTAAGAGTCTGAAGTAGTAGTACACTTTTCTTTTTGTAAAACGCGTCTATCTGTAAATGTATTTTTGTATTGTCAATTAAGTATATATGACTGAAAAAAAAAAGACTACACCATTTGATTCTTCTATAAAGGAAATTTTATTTGTCAAAATAGATGTTTCGATACAACCTTGTTGGTTTCGATCACAAATTCAGGAAATCTTTAAAATGTGCAAAGCTCATGACCAAGGAAACTAGCAGAAACACAACTACGGTTTCCGAAATGAAATATAAGTTCAAACAATCATATTTAGTTGGATAAACCTGCAGAAGTCCAGTCTACACAGGCTAATTTAAACCGGACTTACAATGTTATCACCAGTGTAAACAAGAGCCTTAGTCATAATACTACAACTAAAAAGCAGTTTTCTGTATGACAAATAATCTTACTCAGTAACCAGTTTCCTTTTAAGAAACGTACTTGTTACTCAAAGAAGCGAGTCTTGTTACCGAAATTCTCACAATACCACACAAGATTTAATAAAATGCCTGAGCAACAAATTTATGGTAGAAAAGAAGCTATTGAAACCCTTATGTTTGTTCTTAACTTCTAAATAAACTCCCTTCGGCTTAAAATGTATTGATTTGTTCGATGTCGATCGTTTTGACTCTGTAGAACTTCTTCACTCTCCCTCTTAGCATGTGCTAAATAAGCACGACAGGGACACGCGAGAGCGCTATAAGATTACGAGTGCCACGCGCGGCGTTTCAGAAATGGCTGAGAACGTTTCTGTTACTACACACGCGTGAAAGTCTTGCGGTTTTATTCGATTCGCGAGTTACAAACGAAATTATTGAAACACTCTTACAATAAACAACGATCGTGTCAAAATAAAAAGGACAGTCAAAAGTATAAAGTGACTGCCTTCGTCGATAGACCAAGAGGTAGTGTTGAAAAAGTTCTTCAAAGCTAACTCGACAAAAACAAACAAAAAAACTGGGAGTGATAGAGGCTTAAACTTTACATTTGTTATGATCTTCGCAAATGTACAGTTTAGCACAGATTCAATATGAAGAGATCCAAAATTATCATTTATTTTCTACATCTAACACAGAAAAAAATACCAATCAAGGGCAGTTTGTTGGATTATTTCTCAAATTAACAGAAAGCCGGCAAATCAGAAGCATGAACAAACAAATTTGAGTTCCCCACACTCTACTTAAACTCTCTAATCTCTTTACATTTTTGAGCGGGTGAAACTCAAGGTGTACCAATTCTTTTTTTAAAAAAACAGCAGCATTAAGTTAAATCACTTATACAATTTTAAACAGTAACGCGCAATTTACATCACGTCTTTAACAGGAGATTGCCAGCGCCTTCTTCCGGTTACAGACCAATCTCGTGCCCAGACGCTTAGGTCGGTGGTTGGTCACCAAGGCAACCAACCGCTGTCTAAAGGGTTTAACTGCTCTGGTCAAGAGATTGGTCGGGCGCAGATCAAAGGTACAACTCGCCACATTCTAACAACCTAGGGAATTTTGCTTTTTTTCTCCTCAAGACATGGTGCCAAACACTGGATTGTGACGGCAGATGCTGGGACCGTGTTCGTCATAGTCAGCTTTGGTGTGACACACTGTGTAAAACTCCGGCTAAAATGAAACAAACAGGACACATTATAAGTGGAATTATTTCCCTTCATGAAGTCTGCGAGTGAAACCCTAGTCAGTGACCATTCAAATAGAGGTTACTGAGCAGTACTTTCATGTGGTACTGTTTATTATGCGGTACAACGTGGTTCTAACTTTTAAGTCTGTGGATAAAACCCTAGTGTGTGACCATTCAAATGGAAGCTATTGAGCAGTCCTTTCATGTGGTACTGTTTATTATGTTGTACAAGGTGGTTCTAACTTTGAAGTCTGTGGATGAAACCCTAGCGTATGACCATTCAAATGGAAGCTATTGCGCAGTACTTTCATGTGGTACTGTTCATTATTGGTCCTAAATTTTACATACCGTAGAAGCCAGCATGCTTCCTCCAAACCAAACAGCATAACGCTGCATGTGATGTGTGATAACTTGAGTGTCAATCGGTTTTGGCTGAAGATTATGGACACACACAACATTATGATAAGCTAGTTGACATATGACAGCAACAAATGGAAGTAAGTTAATGACGGCAGTTTGGTTTGAAACCGCAAATACGGAAGCAAATGCCAGAAATCTATGAAATCTTCTCAGGAAAGACACATTTAACCCTTAGGTCTATTAGTAATATTTGCAGCACCCAAGTCATAACCTAAGATTTTGTGAAAGAAGAGTAAGTTTCATTATGATTCTGAAGTCAACTGTCTTTTATGTTTAACGCCACATAAAGACGCAACCTGGAAAGCATATCGAAATTGTCAAGTGGAAACAACGTGTTTTAGCATTTTTGTGATGTATCTTACCATTACATGGCGATAGTTGTGCGCTTTGGAAAGCGTATTACATGAGAAGATGAAACCCTCGGGAACATAGCGTTGCACGACAGATAGGGCTAGAACTGGAGTAGACATATCAGCGCTAAGGAAATTCAACAAAAAGCACTGGCCAGAAGGACTCGCAAGTAATCGCAAGTAACCACAAGTTAAACTTGCTTAGAGACTTCCGTTGGGTGGCCAAACGGACTCGCAAATTTCCTCGCACAAGTACACGCAAGTCGCAAAAAAAAAAAAAAACACCATTTCAAGGCTAAGGGCTTAGTCCCGCGCGGCCAAAATGTAATAACGAATGGACGACACTTGTGTTGACTTGGGTTAGGTGGTCAAACGGTGAAAAAGTTGCGTCGACTTCCGTACAAATTGGATCGCGACCAAAGTAAGCGCAAGTGCACACAAGCCCAGGCGAGAGGAACTTGCAAGTAGACCCAAGTCCTCAACTTGCGTCTTCTTGCGAGTCCGTTTGACCAGGGCTTAAACCAATAGTTTGCGCTAATTAACATAAATGCGCTGATCACCTTGATGCGTCCTCCACTGAGCTGCTCACTGAGTTTCAGTCGAGCGTCCACTGCACGCTTGATGTCACGCTGAAGACGACGACCAAAGTCACGGAACATGGTTGAACCTCCAGATAATACAATGTTCTAACGCAAAGACGGAAAAAAAAACCATAAATAAGTTCTATACGGTATTCCCAAAAAACAAACAAAAACAAACAAAAACGCGCACAACAACAACAATTTTAAGTCTTAATATTTTGGACTAGTACACAACAACGACCGGCAACTATCAACCTCGTCCCCAAGGCCTTCTCCACTTTTCAAAATGGCGGGCGGAAGAAGACCCTGATTGGCTCAGTCTTTTCCCAACGAGCCGCCATTTTGAAAACCGTCGAGTAGAAGGCCCTGGGGACGAGGTTGAGGTAACTAACAAGTGACGATGGCAAACGACAAGGGATTACAAAGAGGACAAACTTGAATATGGCAGCCACGATTGTTCACAAAAATCGTTTCAAATTGTACAGAAGCGGCCATTACCGTATTGTCGTTTCAAGACCTCGCTGTTTACTGATTGGATAATATAAATCAAAAATTCTATGAAACTGCATTGCTACCAAACTGTGTAAAAAGAGAGATTTTCTCGCTTGTTCAGTTCACATCCATCATTTGAAGCATTACCTAATGCAATGCGGTGTTGCATGATGAAACAACCTAACAAACAGCTGCACCCCACACCCATGGGGTGATTATTCACCTTGTATAGTGGCCTGCGGACATCAATGGGGCAGTTCTGGATGACGTCATCTACAACCTCAGATAGAGGGGTGGTGAAATCTGGGTTACAAAACTGAAACAAAAAACATGACACGCAATGAAGAAAGTATTATGCAAGAGTCATATTGTTTTAAGACAATGACAACAGCACTTTCTGGTGGTAAAGATATCCCAGAATGGCTTTAAAGGAGCTACATGTAGTTTGTACATGTACGTCACGGTCCACGCATCCTGAAACGGTTATACTAAATTTCTCAAGTTTTACGTTTGCAATGCGTGTCAATCTTCTCCATCTTTAACCATCCTTGTTCGTTTATGGTTTATTATTATCTCTTAGGCGTTTTTCTATACTAGTAAACTACTATTTTCAGGTTTTCCTTAATTTAAAGGTAATTTTTTCTGAGGAGTCAAAATTTGGGAGAACGAAGCACTTGCCCACCATGTTCCATGGCATTTCTCACTCTTTCAAACTTTCACTTGCACTTCTATAACGCGTTAGAAACACGGAAAAAGTTTTCCATTTCTAAACCTACCTAAGCCACACAAATTTAGATAGCTTGCTAAAATGTGTGAGGAAATTTTTCTTTAGAGGGACCTTTCCTAACACATTGGTCTTTTCAATGTTAACAACAGAAACTGCTTTCAAAATCACACAAAATTTGTTGCCTATTAGGTCAATTTTCTTACCTCTGGGTGGAAGAAAATTTCTGGGCCCAGAAATCGCTCATAACCAACGTCCACTGCAAAAGGCTGCAGAGATATATGAGATAAGCCCGCCTTAAGAGAACTCACAGAGGTAAAAGTGTCTTGCCAAGAACAAAACACACAATATCCCAGCTTAAACTAACCACTACACAGCCACTCTGTGCAACTGACTGGTGAATGACTTTCAAAACAAATCTTTCCCTTTATTAGTGAATAAATGTATGAATAACAAGACATCCTTGAAACTATCTGCAGATGGAACAATCCGGTGTCAAACGATCATGAAACAAAACATGTAACAATCTGGTGTCAGAAAAATTGTTCACAAGGTCTACTGGATTTCATTTCATTAGATCAAGTTGATCAAAACTCAGGCAACATTACATGTATATCTCATTCTGTACTTACACGTGTTATACATTTCATTTTAAATCCTAATGGATTCTTGACTAACAACAGTTACTGCAGTCTGAATTGAAGGGTTTTTTTAAGTTGTGCCCTGTGAAGTTTCCGCACTGCAGTGTCATATGTTGTCATTAGGTATAGCTGTTCGAAGAAGTCATACTGTATTGATTAAGGTTCAATACCTTTTTTGTGACAGCGTTCACACTTTCATACTTCTTGATCCACTTGCCTGGTTCAGCTTCATACTTAGCAAACTCTTTTGCAATGTCTGGACAGATGTAGCCCCAGCGTTCCTAGATTAAAAAAAATTAGCAAAGCAAAAATAACAACAAACTTCTAAACAAACTCTTTGCTATGGAACTAACTGTTTACATCATGATACACTGCTACTTCAGTAAACTTTGACAGTGTTTGCCCTAACGCCGACATTCCCATTCTCCATACTGGTTTTGACACATTTTTTTTTCCCACAAGTTATGAGAATTTCATTATACACCAAATGGTGGATCTCCTCCTTAAAACCAACTTATCATAAATGTGACCACTTTTTTTGTCCCGTGGGGTTCTGTTGCATCAAGAAAATATCTCTTACGTGATAATTCCCTCAATTATCATCACGTGTTTGCCTAACTATGTATCTAGATATTTTAAGGTGAAAGTACACTTTGATCACCTTGATGGTTTTGGCAGTTTCCATGGACTGCTCTGGCGGAATTCCCACTTCACGCTCACGAAGAAGCTGCTGCACAAAGAAGGTGATGTCACGGCCAGCAATTGGGATGTGCTTTATACAACTACCAATGACATAACCCTCAGCCTAAACAAAGAACAAAACAGACTTGGCTGATCAGCATTGAAAATTCAACAAATTAAGGGTTACTTTGGTCTACTTAGTATACCCAAGTGCTAGGATAAATTCGAGACACATTCTTGATCTCCTTTGTGAAATGCATTCTAAATGTCACTTGACAGCCATTTATCTTGTTTAAACTCATCATCAATTGATGAGTTCAGGAAAGAAGCATGCTACACGCACCAATGCCACTCAAAGCAATCTGCACGTTGTCACACAGCTGGCAAGAAAAACACGTACATGTAAGTCCCGCAAAACTCTGTATGAGACCCAATGGAGCAATTGGCCAGCCTGAAAGGCCACTGACCAGCATTAGCTTGAGTCAAACTTTGACTAAACTACATTTAGCCACATAAAATTTAACATGGCATTACTTTGTCTTTAGGTGGCAACTTAAATGTATAAAAAGTTATTAATTGCAAGCTTGGCAAATAATGCAAGAACAACAATCTGTTACATGATTTTTTTCAGGGATTGAGCCACCAGTAATAACCAAGGTTTTCTTACCACTGGAATGACATGAGTTACACCATCTCCTGAATCAATAACCGTTCCAGTTAGAGTCCTTTCTCCAACTTGACGAGACGTCCAAGATGCAGCCAAAGCCAGCACAGCCTGGAAACAGACAAATAAATATTATACTGTTAGTAATAATTCACCACTTTAGAAACAAGAAGGAATCTGGGGCAAGTCTCATCGCGCAGTCCCTTGTGCATGGGATCATTACTGGAAACAATATAGCTTCTCGTCTTTTGTTTTGTCTTCAGTAACAATCCCACAAGCCACTGTGAGATGAGACTTGTCCCAGTTTTCTTCTTATTTCTAAAGTGGTGAATGACATTTAATTTTTCAGTTCCTGAAACTCTTAGGGTGCATTCCTTTGGGGTGATCTGGATCAGGATCACTGATCCTGATCCAGATCACCCCAAAGGAACGTACCCTAAATTTGTAATTTGAGCATGATTATCATTGAAGATGTTGAATTTAATTGTGTTAATTCTAAAATGAAAACACTGAACACAGAGAGACAGTTTCCTAGCTGTCAACCAGTATTACCTACATGTACATTTACAGAGGTTACCAAATATAACTAAGCAAGACTAGGGGTAGTTTCTAATGATCCGTAAGAGCTGAGGGAAGCTCATATGATTATTGCAAACTCTTACATTTTATTTTCAAGATTTTTAGCCAGGTTTTCATTGTTAACAGGTTGAAATGTCAATGAAAGGACACTAGTTGTATTCTAAAGCTTTGCTTTTCATTTGTCTCATTAGAAACAATGGGCTGTGCAGTGGATGCCAATTTTGTCAAAATTGAAACACAATTTGAAATTTAAGTATTCAATTGTCATGGTAACCAAAACGACTACCATTCAGAGCTCTGCATGGGTGACATTGACATTCATACATTCTCAGCAATAGTACAAAACCTACATTGACCAAAGGTCCCAGAAACCAAGAAATTTGATCTTCAGGACCTGGACATCAGTCTCAGAGACACCAAAAAAGATTCCAAGACCCAGTGAAATCCCCTCATTGCAATACCCAGAGACATGTAGAGAAACAGAGACCCACAGACAGAGACACTTTGGCAGAAACAGCAAATCCCTACCTGCACAGCTATGTATAAGCCTGGGATATTAAATGACTCAAACATAATTTCTAAAGGAAACAAAAATAACATATAAAATTACATGTAGATATTGAAAGATAGAGCATACACTGTATATGTGTATGACTTAGCTTTCGTTTTGTTTTTCCCTAACATCTATCTTTAGTTACCTTTTTGAAACCCTCTCTTAAATAGTACAGTACAGTGAAACATACAATAGGCAGACGCCATGTTAACCAGACACCCACTTTTTAGTAGACTTAGACTACCTTATTAACTCCCAAACCTTTCTTCCCACACTTTCTGACAAATGTGGTCTCACAGGGTAGGCCATATTAAGCAGACACCTTTGATTACCAGTCACATGAGGTAACTATCTTGAAATCAAAGTAAATAATAATGCAAATATATCATATTCAAGGTTATCGAGCACACATACCTGCAGTGTATTCTCTGTTTTCTGGTGTATTGAGAGGAGGTTCAGTCTACAAAGAAAATAAATTCCAGTAAATGCTACACTATTTATTGTATGCAAAGCCGAGCAACCAGCCTTCCATAACAAATACTGGTAACCTAATTGCAACAAAATGACAGTCTCAACTCCCATATTAAATTGTCTATGCTTGATGTTGCAAGAATGCAGTTGCATTTCACACCTTGAGTTTGAAGTATCAAGTTTCAAAAAATCTTGGAGTGTTTGAGCCTACATGAACATGAGAGCTAATCTTGTGGGATTTTACTTAATACGTACACAAGCTAAGCCTTTTCTTAGGGATATCAGTTACTAATCAAGGCCTTATATGACAGTTCTACAACTTATTGCAAAGGAACAATAGCAGTACTCAGAATACCTATTAACTTTGGAGGGCTTTCTGTATGTGGCCTCTGTTTCCATGTTTTGTATATTGTTACAATTTATGCAACAAACACAATGTAATTTAAAATTTAAAAAACTGAACTAAGTTGTTTTCTGCTCATGTAAAACTCACAAGAAGAAAGTAGTGATCTTCTGGCTCAGCCCGCAAGTACTTGAATATACACTGCTCCCAAAATCGTTCCTGAAGATAAGGAAAAATTAAAAAAAAGATTTACAGGGCTTATAGACCCTTTTCATAAATGGCTGCCAATTTAAAATTCTTTTGTTTGCATTTAAATTAGTAAAAATTCTTTTGAATTATCAACTCAAAATCAAGGTTAGTCAGGCTAATTTTAATACTTACAAAAGAATTTATAATTGGCAGCCATTTATGAAAAGGGTCTATAACTAATGCATGTAATATTTAGCCAAAAGGAATCTTCTTGTAGTGGACTGAAGTTATTGTATAGCTCTGCAATAAAACCCAGACTTTTTCCAGTTGTTCAGGGTATAGTATAAGAAAGAAGTAATTTAACATACCATTAAATCCCAGTCTTCTACAATAGCATGCCTTATTGGCCACTGAAAGTCAAAAAGAAATATGTAGGTATTAGTAATATTTAAGACCCTAACCATTACGTCAAAACACCTTAAGATTTTCCTCTACAATCTTAAGAAATCCTCCAGAATCTTGAAAATGAGCAACCAGGGATGGAGAAATTTTGCTCATTATTCAGCTTTATACACGTACAGTCTCACTGGTAGGCAGAGTACACTGTACACACTTATGAGAACCCTTTACATCTTAGCCCAGCCCAGCTACAGTATAATTCTCTACATTTAAGCACAGCCTATATAGCTACAGACCTTATTTACTAATAGACCATTTCCAAGTTACCTTGTGCCTCTGTTTCAAAACGAGTCTTCGTGCAAACCTTTCTTATGAAAATAAGTTTGATTTGCATGAAAATGAACCTCTAGGTGGAACTCACTTTCATATGGAATGGTTTCAAACAAAGACTTGTTTTAACGGTAACTGCTGGTTTCGCCCCATGGCAAGTTCGCCCCCACCGAGTTCACCCCCAAATTGACTCAACTTGATCAAGTTTGCCCCCAACCAGATCAAGTCACATATAGAGATTATTCCTCATACTTTTATCCACTGCCTTCTTAGGACTATTAGATTACTGGTGGCAAGGAAACTTCACTTGGTGGCAAGGTCACTTTGCTTGGTGGCGAGACTGCAATAATCATCTAAGCTTACCAAACATACATAGACTGAAATGGTTCTTTGAAAACATTTAATAACTTGATAACAACTACATAAACACGAACACTAAAAGTTGGGGGCGAACTCAAAATAGAAATTTTATAGTAGCGGGGGGTGAACTTGTTGGAGGCGAACTCGCCATGGGGCAAAACTGGTGTTATTCGTTTTGACACAGAGGCAAAAGGCAACTCGGAAATGGCCTATTGGGCTTACTTTCCCTTGGGAATTAAAATTAATGCAGCTGCCTCGTGGAAACAACACTTTTCTCATATTCTGGATGCTAAAAATGATCTAGTGTGTATTACCTTTGTTCCATAGCCAGGTCTATCTATTGCATCATCACCAATGTAAAAATCTAGTATAAAAAGAAAAGGTGCAGTATTAAACGACCTTTTCTATAGGCTTATTAAAGCTAAGTTTCAGGGACATCCCTCATTTTAATTTGAAACAAGTGGTTATTCTGATTCGAGAGACATTGTTGTCAGCATTACAGGGTGTAGTGCAATTGTTGCTGTCAAATTTCAAATATAGAAGGAAGCCTTATAGATATATTACGGACCAAAAAGCAAACTGGCCATTCTGCAAGTTACAAGACCATGGTTTCTCACACTGCTATACTATTGCTCTCCTCCTCCTTGAAATTTACTTTTAAAAAAATGTTACAGTTTCTAATGTTTTGTTGCATTTTACCTAAATCATCAATGCCTTTAGCAGCCCTCCTTTGTGCTTGATCTCCCACCTTAGCCGATTCCTTTATCGCAATAGCTGTGAAAATTGAAACATTAACACATGTTTGTACCTGGATACATTTTCAACAACTCTTTCAGATACATAATTTCTAATCAAATAATCAAAAAATGTTTACCTGTAGGTAAAATATATTGTGGTTCTGTGTTTCCTGCAAAACCCATTTTTGTATACCTTGAAGAGTAAAGAAAGGATCTCTTAATTACTAGGTGCCCTGTGATTGATCAGTTTAAGGTCATTCCACTGAAATACAACCTGCACTGAGATTTTTGTGAAAATTTGCCTATTGATTGTTTATATTGTAGGAACTTAAAGTTTGAAATAAAAATGAGGGGTCCCCACGTTCGTTTAGGAGCAACAGCACCTTGTTTATACCCAACAAATCACGACTGCTTGCTAAATTCATGTTTCCGACGATTGTTTTTTGTTCTACACTGAGAATTGGTCCATATTTATATTACACAGAGAAATTTATTACTCAATTCAAAACAACAGAAAAAATGATAGGTCACCATACTCGTTTGCAAGAAAATGACAATTTACCTCTATGGCGAGTTCAGCCGTAAAGAGAAAGCCGCCATTTTTTAATGTGCGCACGCTAATCATGCGTGAAATTATGCGCAGCAGGCATGCGCAGTGCAATACTGGGGAATGACCTTAACAGGATATATTCTACTGTAAAGACTGCAAAAATTTTACTTTGTTTGGTTACCAAGCTGTCTCAAGGAAACTGCTCTACTATAAGTGGTAAAACTACACCTGTGAAACGCAATTTTGAATGTTAAAATAACTTCTAGCTCAGTTGAAAGTCTTCTAACAGACACCTACAGATGGCAGACATCTCCCTAAAGTAGACAGTAAGACACATACAAGTAAAAACTACATTTTTAGCCCCTCATTAATTGACCACTCTATTCAACAGACACTTTTCCTGGTCCCAAGGGTGTTTGCTTATGGAAGGTTTGATTATAGTTTCATGTACCAGGGTCCGAAATTGCGCTTTCCTGGTCGCCAATGCGACTAGAAATTTTGCACTGCCGACCAGAATTTCACAACTGGTCCCCAGCCAGCGATTAACTATTTCAAGCCACGATAATTACACAAACTTTGATTTTCAGCCAAATCGATTAAAATGAAATTCAAAGCCGCCCACCAATTGGTCACTTTTTACCTTTCCGCTGCTTTTGAAGTATAAAACCGATTTTCCTGACATTATAAATCTACCACAACGTTTCACAGCTACGATCAGTGCAAAGCTTCGCCGCCATGTTTTCTCAGCGGTTTCCCATAACATACGTATTGCGGGCGATTTGTTGTCCAAAGATGTTCTGAAANCCAGTTGGCGCCTGCCTAAAAAAGTTAATTTCAGACCCTGTGTACCCAGCACTTTCTCAGATATACACTTACATACATGAACACAAAACAAACAACAAATAGATATATTTTTAGGGTAAGGAGTGCCCTAAACAGCCATTACAGTGTAGTGGTTTCCTTTTAAAAGCAGTTTCAACATGTCAAGTATTTAAAAATCCTAAATGACTTTATGCAAAAAGGAATTTTTGGGATTGACCCATGTCTAAATCATAGAACGTTAATCTACTGAAAATATGTACATTGAACAAGCACGGCTTTTGCAGATTAAGACCTCCAGGAACACTTGTATGTTTGAGAGATTTACAAATAAATATATGTGGTTTTAGATGAGGAGTAATAAAAGAAAATAACACCCACTATCGAAAAACAAACGCTGTAGCTGCCTGCTTGAAGTGAAAATATGTTTTACAATCACTTGCAGCTTCAACTTTTACAGCTTTTCACTAACCCCGTTCCATTGTCAATGACACAAGCGGGTTGCCGTCCCGTCATCTTGAAGTTAAAAAAAACCTCTTCAAAACTAAGTAGTTTTTGTCTTGGATCGCAGGACGGTTTCCCGAAAAGAAGAGAAAGTACTGTTGCGGAAGCCTTCCGAGATCCCAATAACCAAGATGGCGACCTGCCCACTGCGCATCCAAGAGCATTGTGGGAGAAATCGGAGGTGTGGTGCGGAAATAAAAATTGGCTCGGGTGGGCACGGGAAAAATTGTTTCCTTTCTTTAGTTCATTTTTGTGGACGCCAAGGCCGACCAAGGTTGACAAAAGAAGTTAAAATGATACATCAGTTTTCTTGTTTGCAGTGAATGAGTATATCTAGCTTTTGCATAGAAGAGGCTAATACCATTGGTGTAAAAAAATTGTTATTTGTTGGTAACATTTTTTGGGGAAAAATGAAAACATGTTTGTGTCCTTTCAATTACTTGCAGTGTTTTTGTTGAGAAAACTGTACTCAAAAACTATCAACAAAGTCTTGTCCACAATAAATACTAAGTTAGAAATAGCACACAATTGAATGTATGGTAGACACGGTTTTGAAGAAGACACAGATAATTATTTTTTGGGGGACAAAAAGTTAAAAAAAATCGACTTTTTGTTTTCATGTAAGTCATTGTCACTTTCAGACACATGCAAGTCTCAAGACCTCCCTTATTGTAAGCTCTTTCCAGAACAGGACCAGTTGCATAATTTGAGTGAAAAATAATATTAATCTTCCATACCATGATCTTTGCTAAATTCATTTTTATTTCTTTGATGCTGAAAAACACCTTTTTATAATTTACTACTATTTACATTTCAAAAAATAACTTCTATATTGTAGAAGTAAAAAATAACAAACCCATATAAATATCATCAATGTTTGTACCACTATATATGGAAAATATGGTAAGGACATGTCTTTGAATACACTAAATATATTGTATAATTTATGGTTCTTTTTAGGCTGAAACTGAAGATTTTAAGGGCTGTATAAAAAGATATATATGTACCTTACATTTGGTAAATTTAATAACTAAAGATACACCTTCAGTAACACTTGTTATTATAAAATAAGTTAATTTCCCTTACTTTGATAAGAAAATCAGGGTACTCTTGTCTCATACGGATTCAAATTTACATGTATATTCAAGAACATTTTTCAGATTCATTTCCCACCCTATCTACATCGTATAGTTGTTTTCCTCTACAATTTACAAAACAACTTTTTCATATAAATTTAAGGAAGCCACATGCATGAACAATAGTTACACAACAACCTAAAATAATTTGAAAGTAATACTTGCAGATAAACTTCTGACTGATACAAACATCAGTCAACTTGAATTCGGTAGTTGACCAGACATTCAGTTACGATTATACTAATTTGAGTAATTCTTGATTTCTTTTTAAAAGAGCTATGTCTCAGCATTTGGAATAAGTTCTCGTGGTGTTGATTTTTGTTTAACAAAGTTATCTTCAAAGTAAGTAATGGAAACATCAGAAAGTTTACTGCAGTAAAAATGCTAAAGAAATGAAAAAATAAAATAAAACAAAAAAGAAACATGGATTGCTAAAACTGAGAAATACAGAGGCAGGGTGTGACACACTCTGTACAAGCCTTACATTGTAATTGCAACACTTGACAGACAAATGGCAAACTTGAAAAATTTAGGCTAAATTTTTCAAGATGTGCTATCTATGGCATAGCTTCTATAAGTTTTGTTTCATATTTTATGATCAGTGCAATCACTTCAAAACATTTTCAGACAGAAATGCCCATTGACCTAGCCTAGTTCCATCAATTCCCCTGGTCTGTCTCACCCTCATCAACTGACGCTGGTTTACTTGTGATTGTCACTATAGGCTGAGCAATATCCACTGCTCCTTCACTTTCACTGACTTGATCAGAATCATCTTGTTTACATTCAACTGGAGCTAAATTTGATGACAAATCCAGAGTATCAGGCAATTGATGATCATCTGCAGTTATATTAACTTCTGTGTCCACTTTGGACATTTCTCCCTCCTTTGCAGCAACATTGCCTTCATTTGTTGTTGCAGCTGTTGTGTCTTTGGCAGCGACACTCTCATTGTGGTCTGTATCAGAAGCCTTGGAGGAGTCCGCCTTTAGATGATCCCCTTGAACAACTTCACCTTCACCTCGGTGACTAGACCTTGATTTAGACGAGCTTGGTCTAGAGTTGGGTGGTGGTAATGGTGTCGTTTCATAGTGCTCTTCTTCTTTCTCACCCCCAACACAATGGAAAAAAAGACTTGGATCATTTGGGTCAACATCAAAAGTCAAAACATTCTTTCTACCTGTCTTGTATATATTTGCACTAGAGGTGTGGTCATCTAAACGCGATTTGGATGTGGGACTTTTCTTCCTTCGCTGTGATTTCCCGGTATGCAAATGTTTTCTCATTCCACTAACACTACCTTCTTCCAGATCACAAAACTCGGATTCAGCTAGTGTCAAGAGCTTCAACCTATTATCAACCATAAAAGTTGTTTTGCGCCCAACATTAGGTATAGACGGCAAATGTGGTTGAAGAAGGTAAGTGGATGGCTCAGAGGGGAAGGTAGTGTTTGCATTATGCACAATCTTTGCAATGTCTCTATCACTAAGAAGTGGAGGCATTACAAAGAAATGATGGTAACATGAAGCCTGTTTCTTGTCACTGGGTTTGCTGATCAATGGTTTTCCAGACAGAGGTTTTATCTCAGACTGTTCCTTTCCTTGTATGGCCTTGTGTTTCGCCTCTTTCCTCAAGTTTAAATTTCTTGCGGGGAAGTTTTGCATAGAAGGAGGATCCGAGGAAGTATTGATGTCGAAATTTCGAATCATTGGCCTTTTTCGAGGGTACGTGAGTTGTTTTAAACGTTCCATGGCGTTGATGAGATTGTGCTGTTCACGGTGAATAAGTTCGTCCTGAAGCTTGCGAATTTGCACAAAATAGTGGGCTTGTTTCTCGTTGCCAGTCTTTGTGTCTTGAAACCATGACTTGTCCATTGCCGGGCTGTTGTTGTGTTTCGTAGAAGAAGACATGTTAGCGATGCAAAGTTCAGAAAGTTGAATTTGCTTACAAATTTGTTGCAGTAGTTAACTCTCGCTGTGCTTCAGCTTTCCATAGTTCCTTTAAAAAGTCTTTTAAGAATTCAATCTTGATAAACAAATTTTCAATTTACATCTCAATATAAACCTTGGATTGTTTATCCTTCTCGCGAGGAGACTTTTTCAACTTTCCAACATGGCCGACTTACTTGATCTGTTGCTATAGAAACGTAGACTTGTTTCTTTCGAAGCGCGAAATGACTCTGGGATAGCTTGCAAAATGGCGGCGAAAAGGGCAAACGGGTCAACTCAAACTATAAACTGTTGACATTTCTCTCTGGAAATCACTGTTTATCATCGTCTTGCACACATCGGTTAATTTTCAGGAACCATTGTCTCCATTAAGATCCAAGAAACAATACTAAAAGTTTGCAGGTTAACGGCTGGCCAAAGCAAAAACTTCCAAGATGACGGCGGGAATGATCAGAGTGCCTAGCATTATGCCGTTGCGAGTTCCAGTGGGAGGAAGAAAGAACATAATAGACACTCACACGCCCATCGAGCTGCGATCAGAAACTCCAGATACTTTGATTTATTACACAATCAACGGAATGAAGCCTGAACCTTTTAAACAAATTGGCATAAAGTGCACCTACAAGTATAACAGGCCTTTTGTTTTAGGGCAAGGTAAACGAACCGTGAAAGCTTTAGCGACCTCGAGCGATGGAACAAGGGAAAGTTCCATTGTAACTAAGACATTCATGGTGGAAGAACGAGAAGGGAAAGAGGCATTAGATGCCGAGGACAATGTCTCCGAGCTTCAACAAAGCATGTCTTCATCCACTGGGAATTTAAGGGAATCATCTGGGACTTTGTTTGGACAAATTCTTGAGAACGCCAAAGGTTCCAAACTGAAAACTTCAGAGGCTTGGGGGACAGATGGTAGTTCTAAGCGATTTCTTACATCGACACCTGATGAGTGGGAAAATGTCAGAGGATCTGATTTCAGGAAACCCCGGAGTGAGGCAAGGTTTACAGCATCAAGGTTTGGTTCAAATCAAGCAACATTAGGTACGCCAGATCAGTCTCTTAGTCAGGTTGATGGGGTGTTGAAGGACAGACGAGGTCCTGAGAACAGGATTCAAGCAAGCAAGATTCAGCAGCAGACAGATTTTTTGAAGTGCATCTACTGTCTAGCACCCAGGCCATCTGATCCTTATGCAAGATTCTGCTCTGAATGTGGGTCTCCCATTCCACCATTGCCGTCATCAAGACTTCCACCCCCTGAGGGTGGGCAGCTTGGTATGTGCGTCTCCTGTCACTCAATGGTGCCACTGAACACTCCTACTTGCATCATTTGCGAAGCACCTCTTTCACCTCAGCGTCAACC